ACTGTATGATCTCAGTTACATGTGGAATGTAATAAATAATAGAAACAGAATAGATTTTTAAAAACAGAAACAGAATAGATTGGTGGCTGCCAGATGCAGAAGATGTGGGGTTGGGGAAATGGGTAAAGGTAGTTAAAGGGTACAAGCTTATAAAATAAGTTCTGTATAGCATCATCACAAGTTAATAATACTGTATTGTAAATTTGTAAGTTTTAAGAGAGTAGATCTCAAAAATTCTCATCAAAAGAAAAAATATGTAACTATGTAACCTTAAAGTGGTTATCATTTTGCAGTATATACATACATCAAAGCATTATATTCTACACCTTAATATTATACAATGTAATATGTCTATTATATCTCAATAAAACTGATGGAAAAAAAATACAAACTCTAAGTAGACCAATAACGACTAAGTAGATTGAATTAGTAATCAAAAACCTCCCAAAAATAAAAGCCTAGAACCAGATGGTTTCGCTGGGTAATTCTGTGGAACATACACCAGTTCTTAAAATTTTCCAAAAAACTGAAAGGAATACTTCCAGACTCATTTTATGAGTCATTTATTAGTGCCAGGATTACATTGACACTAATGCCAGATAAAGACAATATAAGACAATGCAGGCCAATATTTCTGATAAATATAGACGTAAAAATTCTCAACAACATGCTAGCAAACCAAATTCAACAGCACATTAAAGGATCATACACCTCTTCTACTGGGATTTATCTCTAGGAAGCAGGGATCATTTGACGTATGCAAATCAATAAATGTGATTCACCACATTAACAGAAAGTAAGATGAAATCACATATCATCTGCATGCATGGACTAAAATCATCTGACAAAGTTCAACATGCTTTCATGCTAAAGATTCTCAATAAATTTGGTATATATGGAACATACTTCAACATAATCAATGCCTTATATGACATGCTTACCACAATTAATATGCATGCTCAATGGTGAATGGTTGAAAGCTTGTCATCTAATATCAGGAACAAGACAAGGATACCAACTCCCACCATTCTATTCAACATACTGTTGGAAGTCCTACTCAGAGCAATCAGGCAAGAAAAAGAAATAAAAGAAAGGAAGAAGGAAATTTTTCTCTATTTGCAGATGACATTATTTTACATATAGAAATATCTAAAGATTCTCCTAAGAAATTTAAAGTATTATGATAATAATGGAATCCAATAATGTTTCAGTATACAAAATACATGTACAAAAATCACTTGTGTTTCAGTTACAATGAACATTCAAAAGAGACATTAATGAAACAATCCCATTTGCAATAACACAAAATGAGACAAAGTACTTAGGAATACATTTAACTTAAGAGGTTAAAAATCTGTACATTTATAAAAAGAAGTTTGGACATTTAGGGGCGCCTGTGTGGCTTAGTCGGTTAAGCGTCCGACTTTCGCTTAGGTCATGATCTCGCGGTTCATGGGTTCGAGCCCCGCGTCGGGCTCTGTGCTGACTGCCAGCTCAGAGCCTGGAGCCTGTTTCAGTCTGTGACTCCCTCTCTCTCTGACCGTCCCCTGCTCACTCTGTCTCTCTCTCTCTCTCTCTCTCTCTCCTAGAAATAAATAAAACAGTAAAAAAAAAAAAAAAAAAAAAGAAGAAGTTTGGACATTTATAAAAGAAATTGAAGAAGAGATAGATAAATGGAAAGATATTTCTTGTTCATGGATTGTAAGAATTAACATTTTGGAAATGCCCTTACTGCCCAAAGCCATCTATAGATTTATTGTAATCCCTATCTCAAATTTCATTGCATTTTTCACAGAAGTAGATAAAGCAATTCTAAAATTCATATGGAACAACAAAAGACCCTGAATAACCAAAGCAATCCTGAGAAAGAAGAACAAAGCTGGTGGTATCATGCTTTCGGATTTAAAACTTTATCCCAAAGCTATAGTAATCGAAACAATCTTGTACTGACATAAAATCTGACATATAGTCTAATGGAAGAGAAACAAGGGCCCAATTATAAACCCATAGTAATCTAATATTTATTAGGAGACCAGGAATACTCAGTGGAAAAAAATAGCCTCTTCTATAAAAAGTATTGGGGAAATTGAACATTCACATGCAAAACAATGTATTAGACCCCTATCTTACACTATTCACAAAAATTAACTCAAAATGGATTCAAGACTTAAGACTCAGCACCACAAAAGTCCTAGAAGAAAACATAGGGAAAATGCTCCTTGACATGGTTTTGACAACAAGGTTTTGAATATGACACCAAAAGCACAGGCAACAGAAAAAAAAAAAAAGTGGGACTACATCAAACTAAAAAATATATATATATATATATATAAATTATAAAATGTATATATATATACAAACTTCTGCACAACAAAAGAAACAATCAACAAAATGAAAGGGCAACCAAACAGAATGAGAGAAAATATTTGCAAACCACATATCTGATAAAGGATTAATATGCAATGTATATGAGCAACATATACAACTCAATTTAAAAATGTTCAGGGGCGCCTAGTCGCTCAGTTGGTTAAGTGTCCGGCTTCAGCTCAGATCATGATCACACGGTTCATGGGTTCGAGCCCCGCATTGGGTTCTGTGCTGACACCTAGCTCAGAGCCGGGGGCTTGCTTCAGATTCTGTGTGTCCCTCTCTCTCTGCCCTTCCCCTGGCTCATGCTCTGTCTCTCTCTGTCTCAAGAATAAATAAGCTATAAAAAAAATTTTAAAAAGTTCAATTAAAAATGGGCAAAGGATGTAAATAGACATTTTCCCAAAGAAGACATTCAAATGCCCATGTAAACGTTCTACAGGTATAAGAAAAGCAGTTCAACATTATTAATCATCAGAAGAATGCAAATCAAAACCATGAGTTGTTATATTTTTTAGAGAGGCTGTTATACAAAAACAAAAACAAAAACAAAAACAGGTAACAATTTCTGGTGAGGATGTGGAGAAAAGGGAATGCCCATCCTACTGATGGTAGGAATGTAAATTGTTAAGCTACTATGAAAATACTATGAAGCACCCTTAAGAATTGCAAATAGAGCTGTGTATTTTGGAAGAAAATGAAATTAGGATCTCAAAGAGATGTCTACACCCTCTTGTTCATTGCAACATTATTCACAATAGCCAAGACAGCAAGCAAACAAATGTCCTTCAGCAGATGAATAGATAAAATAAATGTGGTATATACAATGCAATATTATTCAGTCATAGAAAGAAGGAAATCCTGCCATTTATGGAAACATGAATGGACTTTAAGTGCATTATATTATGTGAAATAAGTAAAACAAAATTACAAATACTATATGATCTCACTTATATTGAAATCTTAAAAAGTAAACTTATCGAAACAGAAAGTAGATTGGTCATTGCCAAGGGCTGGGATTGCGGGAAGTATAAACATGTTGGTTAAAGGGCACAAACTTTAGTTATAAAATGAAGAGATTCTGGGGATATAATGTACAGTATGGTGACTGTAGTTAACAATAACTTATTGTATACTTAGGAGTTGCTAAGAGTTCTTAAATGCTCACACCACACAAAAAAGGTAATTTTGTGATGTAATGAATATACTAACTTTATTATGGTAATCATTTTGTAACATATATGTATGTCAAATTATCACATTGCACAACTTAAACTTACAGAATGTTATATATCAAGTATATCTCAATAAGTCTGGAAAACAAAAGTAAGAACCAAAACAAAGCTTTTAGAAAAGAACTGATTCCTTGTCACATAAGTGCCAATGGCTGGTGATGGCTCAATATACTACTTCTAGTGTAATGGGATGAAATCATTAAACAAAGGCAAACAAATAAGCTGTAATGTTGAAATTTCAGCAAATTGGCCAGCAGATGAGGAACTTTTTTGGGAATAGCAGAGAGGTCTTCATTGGATTCTGAATCATATACTATATGCATCAGCCTATTATGTTAACTTTTAAAAATTTTTATTGTTTATTGTTGAGAGAGACAGAGTATGAGCGGGTGAGGGGCAGAGAGAGAGGGAGACACAGAATACAAAGCAGGCTCCAGGATTTGAGCTGTCAGCACAGAGCCCAATGCGGGGCTCAAACCCACAAGCTGGGGGGTCATGACCTGAGCCAAAGTCAGATGTTTAATGGGGTGAGCCACCCAGGCACCCCTATAATGTTCTGAATATAGGTTAGGATTAAACTTTCAGTTTAGCCTCCCACCTCCACCAGTATCCTCTATTCATGTGGATTTTGTTTTGATGGTTGCAAACACTTCTATGAAAGTTGAAGTCATTGAAGTGTTCCATTTGAAAGGTTACAAATATATTCCAAATCTTCCTTGCAGTCCATGAGTCATATCTTCTTTGCTTTCTGCCTCATCTACCAATGTCACCTCCACATTAAATATGGTTTTAGCATTCTCAACCTGGTGTAGAATACTGGATCACTTGTACCTTAGCTTTTAGAAAATAACTTTCCAACTAAAAACCTGCTTTGAAGTCAGTAGTTCTTAACAGGCTCTTTTGACACTTTGAGGGAGTTGAGAAGGGAGAAAACCAAAGAGCTTTGAAGTTAAATGGAAATTGTTGGGTGATTTGCAATAACAGTCCTGTGTAACAGATTATGGTCTCTTGAAAAGAGCTTGAACTGAGAAATCAAAGAATGTGAATTCTATCCCTCACTTTAGGACCTTGAGTGTGACATTTCACCCCATATGTCCTCATCTGTAAAATGTCAGATCTCAATGTCCTCATCTGTAATATGGCTAATGATAACACCACAAACTTCTCAGGGATACCTAGTAGATGAGAAAGCATGTGTTGTTGTTGTTGCAGTAGTCATCACACCATTCCAAAATCTGTTAAGGAATATAATTCTTGACTTGGAGATTTTCAATTCCAGTTCATACTCTCTAAAATAGACTGCCTTGAATTGTCTGCCCAAAGTGGCCACTGGGTCATTTCAGAAACCCCTTGCTACTTAACTTATCCCATTTCCCTTTGATCTCTCCTCTACTCTAGGTGTCAACTCTGCCCGCTCAGTTCCTCCTTCCTACCCACCACCGCAGGACCCGTTAAACCAGGGCCAGTACCTGGTCCCCGATGGCATCGCTCAGTCGCAGGTCTTTGAGTTCACCGAACCCAAGCGCAGCCAGTCACCATTCTGGCAAAACTTCAGCAGGTTAACCCCCTTCAAAAAATAATACCTACAGGGAGGCAGATAATTTTAAAATAAAGTAAATAAAATTATATTTATAGATGGACATTTTTTTGGAGAAGCACTGTTGAAATATATATATATATATATATATATATACATATATTTATATATATATATATATATATAGAGACATATATACACACACACAGACCCTTGAGTATACACATACACACACACACACACACACACACACACACACACACACACACAGAAGGACCAAAAAACGTTTTCTGTTGTTTTGGGGAAGTGAAATCTGTAGTTGGTAGGAAGAGGTACCAATGACTTCCAAATATGTGATCCCTTCTTAAAAGTTTTCTGTTCTTACCCTGTCCCCCTCCCATTTATTTCCAAAAAATGATATTTCTATGTGTTCCTTTTCTTGTTGAGATAATCTCTTTGCTCCCCTGTGAGTGATTCATTGACTTGTCATTATTACCATAGATGTGTTTGTATTGCTTTTTTTCTTTACTGATGATACTGATGCTGATGACTTTTTAATTTAATTTGATGTGATAGAGTTTGGTAGTTCAAATTTCTTTTTTTCTTCCTTTTACTATTCAATGGGTAAAGGGAAGATTCACCTTTCTCTTATCCCTAAGATGACCATCTGTGAATGTTTCTGCAGCCTGGCAGTTGCCCCAGACAGCCTTTTCCCTGCATCTTTGTCCTCAGTCGTGCCAGTCTAGACATGCTCTGTTGTGCTCTGTGACATAACTGCTTGATATTTCTCTTGCTTTCACTGTGTTTTAGGTGTTGTAGAGGGATCAAAACCAAACAGAATCAAGGGAGAGTCAGAGTATAATAATGCTGGAGAGGACTTCTGTTCAGGGGACATTCTGCATTTGGGCTCTTCTCTAGCACTGGGATTTCCAAGTTGTACCACTGTTAGGTCATGACAGTTTTGTATCTGGGGTTTAGTTTGAGCCAACTGTTCTCTTCAAGCTGTTTTGGTTATGTTGTTACTTGTAGGCCTTTCCCTCCCCTAACCTAAAAGATTTGAACTTGAAGAAAATCTTCAAGGCTGAGGCTGAGACTCTGCTTCCTGGTGAAAGGGATTCAATTGCCTCCAGCACCAAATAGGCTTAAAGTTGGGGTTTCCCACTGCAGTCATTTCAGGGGCCTGGTCATCCCTACTTCCATTTTCAGATTGTTTAGGCAGCATTGATATGAGTCTATGAAGGGGTCAAGACAGAGCCCACCTGACCAAGATCATCAGCTGCCTTCGAATTATTGACCTGGACAAGATACAAGACTGACCTTAAACTCTTAAAGGAAAGAACAGTGATGGGCGTGGAAAGAGGCAGCCTCAACCCAAAATATGTACCTGCAGTTCCTATCACTCAGGCTATATGAGACTTCCCCTATTGTTAACAGATTGCATGGACAATCTTCCATGATTCTTTCCCTCCCCTCTCCCTGTAGTCCTTCTTTCTCCTGTTCTCCTGGAACAGGAGAATTGCTGCTATTAGCATAGTTAAATAACTTCTGTGACTCTAAGAAGGTCCTATTTCCAACATTCTCTCATCCCAGGACATTGAAACAAGTATGTGAAGACCCCAGGGGACTCTTCCCTGTGGAGAAAAGATCTGAGGTAGAGACACTACCCTCAGGCTCATTTTAGGCAGGCTTTATACTTGGGGAAAACTAACTTCTCCCACTAAGGGGCAGGCTCCCTATGGGTGCAGGAGTTCCTGTTCCTTCTCCCCACATAACCCTTTCAAGTGGACAGACCTTGAACACCAAGGAAATGGAGTCCAAAGAAGTGAGAATGGGCCCTGCTATGGAGAACCACTTAATGTAAGAATCTGGAAATTGTGAGTGTGTTCTGGACTCTATGGGAGAAAACTTCATCATGAAAGGACTTCAGCTTACTGAGCAGCAGTTATGGCTGCATGGGGTCCTCAGCATAGTTGACTTGATTGCTGCTCTATGCCTCCTGACCCAGACCAGGTCCTGCCCAGCCTGGGAGTTTTTCCTCTGTAGGAATCAAATTACAAGCTGTTTATGCTTCCATTCAACCACATTTAAATCAGACTTGTGGGGTAAGTCAAGGGTAAGTAAGCCTGAGCTGGGCAGAGGGCTGGGGCTCGGGACTGGCCATGAAAGCTCAGCAAATGACTTAGCTACTTAAGCCCCTTTTGCAAGGAAACTGGTACCCAGCACCTAAGCTAAAAGGGCCTCCCTAGCAAACAGCATGTGTTTCAATGGCTGTGTAGGCCTCCCCGGAGTATACATCCTTTCCCTACTTTCCTTTCCTCTCCACTAGGGTTAAGCAAATTCTCCAGGGGTGAGGAGCAAACCAAGAGGGGATTCTTGGCCAAGTCCCTGGACTTACAGCATCTCTTAGCCAAGTCCCTTACCCTCCATCCATGCCCTTCTCCCCTGAGGTTGTCTCAGAGCTCCAGGATCAGGGATATTACCCCTTACAACCCACCTCTCATCTACCCAAACCACTGGCATCACTAGATGCCAATAACTTGTGAAAACAACAAAAAATCAGCTTGCCATTGGTTGGAGTGTTCCCCCAGCCTATGGTAGCAAAGCAGACCAGTGACCAACAACCCCAAGTGGAGCCCTATTACCTGAGATCAGGGTCCAAGTCTATTCTGTGTCCCCACAGCAGTGCTATCCCCAAGAACTCTGTAAATCTCCTCTATGCGTGCATGGCCCCTGAGCTCCCCTTTCCTCAATTCAATGAGGCCTGGATTTGCTCTCCAAAAGGCTTTGCTAATGTGTTTTATGGGCCCTGCTGTGGGATGGTCCTAACACAGAAATCCAACTCCTCTTTCTCTCTCCCTCTCCTCTTCTCTCTATGTGTATAACTCTAATGGATTTATCAAGGACAGCAACAAGAGAGTTCTAACAATTCTAGTGTGAAGCCAAATAGTGATCTTTTAGTGCTTTGGGGCTGGGGTGGGCTGGGGTGGATGGATGGGTAACAGTGATTTTGATTACCCCTGCTGCTCTGCATTTGCCAGTTTATTATTTTGTTTATTCTGACTGTTTGACCCTGTCAAACAAGTGTCAAAGTTGTGTGTTTAAAAAATGTTTAACAACAAAAATATGATGTTGTAATGACACAAAGCCTTATGAAAATATTTATGGAGTTCAATAAAAGAAGTAAAAAGACACTTCCAGGCAAAGCTTTCTTGCCATTGTGTGTGTGTGTGTGTGTGTGTGTGTGTGTGTGTGTGTGTGTATTTCACTAATTCCAAAATAAAGGGAGTTTTTCCTGATCAGGGGCTGTTTATTCCAACCTAATGTTGGCCTGCCAAACCTGCTGTTCCATTGTCAGGCATCTCATGGGCTATCTATCAACTTCCATGTCCTTTCTAGAAGAGTGGGCCATAAGAACCAAGTTTGATCCTGTAACCAGGGACACTTCAAGTATCTTTATAGCTGGGACTGTCGTTCATGTCACCTGTCCCTTTGGTAAGACTTGAGGACCCATACCTGACCCCATTCTTTCCCTTGCAGCTACAAGTCCAGTACCTGCCCTGGGCACTCATGGGAGCTAAAAGCTACTTTTTGGACCCACTCAGAGGCCATATAATATTCTGGTCTGTCTTCTCAGAAGTAGACACATTCCTTAACCATCACCCAAAGTGGGTGGAGTAATCTTACAGTTTTTTTCATCATAGTGTTGCCTGCAAGTAGATGCTCCTAGCTGTCCACAACACCTCCATGTGTTGTCTTAACCTGCCCATCAGTGATCCAATAGTGGGTTTGTTCTGGCCTCACCTGCCTGCCTCCGGAGTGACTAAACACCCTAATAAAGTGCTTATTTACTAAAAGGGACCAGGTAATTTTTCCAAGCTACAGAGTTAAGAGGAGGAGCAGGTGTGTTACCTCTTGGTCAAGGTGTGAGCCCTGTGTATCTAGACCTAAGAGATGTCCTTAATCTAATATTTGGAGAAAGTAATTATTAAAACATATCCTTCAGTAAGCTACTCTTTCTCCATTTCTTGAATCTCAATTTAACCTCTTTCCCTTTCCCATGGGATCTGACATCTTTTTTTATCACACTCAGAAAATTCAGTTCTCTTAGGGTGCCTGGGTGGCTCAGTTGGCTAAGCATCCGACTTCAGCTCAGGTCATGATCTCACGGTCTGTGAGTTCGAACCCCACAGCGGGCTCTGTGCTGACAGCTCAGAGACTGGAACCTCCTTCCGATTCTGTGTCTCCTCTCTCTTTCTGCCCTTTCCCCGCTCATGCTCAGTCTCTCTCTGTTTCAAAAATAAATAAAAACACTAATTTAAAAAAGAAAAAGAAAATTCAGTTTTCAGTAGTCCCTTCTCTGTCTTGCCACTTCCCGGCCTCATCAACTTCCAAAGGTGAATCTCAGTTACCTCCTGCAGAGCAAGAGGACTATCTCTGGTCTCAGTACTCCCTGACTACCTCCTGAGAGTTCTAGAATAGAGAGTGGGGAGATAAATGCTTGGCATCTTACACTCTGAGATGCAGCTGATTCTCTCCTAAGTTACCTAATATCAAACATGTCTCATCACCAAAAAGAATGGCTCGACTACTTACAAGCTTATTTGCTAAGAGCATTTATACACTTGGTGCTCTCAGTTTTATTACAAAGCACCCTATATTCACTGTGGAGAGTGCTGCTATACTCATTGATGAAAGTGCCACTTGCCTAATTAAGTTTCCAATTTGCCATTTTTAAATGTTTATTTTTGATAGAGACAGAGAGCAAGAGAGAGTGCAAGCATTTTTGTGTGAGTTGAGGAAGGACAGAGAGAGAGGGAGAGAGAGAGAATCCCAAGAAGGCTCCAGACTGTCAGTGCAGAACCTGATTCAGGGATGGAACTCAGAAATCGTGAGGTCATGACCTGAGCCAAAACCAAGAGCCAGACGCTTAACTGACTAAGGCACCCAGGTGCCCTCAATTTGCCTTTTCTAATTTCTAAGTTTCTTCCTTTGACTGGGGATAGAAGGGATAGTAAAGTATCACTTTTAGGAGGTTTTCAAAAGGAGAAGGCCTTAGCCCATCCCAAGATCATTGTAATCAGGATGATGGCT